CGGGGATACACATATCACGGGGATACACATATCACTGTGACAGCGGGAATGAAGTCTCACAATCAATCAGCGCTGAAAATCAAATGCGATAATACCGGTGATTTGCGAAAGCGGTTTAGCTGTCAAAAAGGAATTATGTGTTCTCTCTCTCTCTCTTGGAAGCGGCTAAATCTTGGCTTCATTACTAGCAAAAACAATCAGATTTGTTTTAATTGGTTCTCAAGCAGTCTTCAGGGTAAAACGTCTGAAAGTGCAAGAAGATTAAAAATGCATGCCAATGGTGTTTTTAGAGGAAAACCCATTTGGAGCGTAAATTATGCTCTTTTATCATCGCAAAATATGCAAAGGATGTTAAGACGGTCACGGAGGGCATAATAGTTTATTTCGTTTATTTTCCTACTCAATTGACCTGAAATATTTTCCCTTCAAAAATGTCGTGTGTCAAGACTTTAGTATGATGTTGTAATCCAGTTAATGTGAGCCGGTTACAAAGCTGCTTAGCCGGGCTTTTCATTCGCTGCCCCGTTTGCTTTCTACCTCGGCGTCTTCTTCATTAGGCTCGATTTCCGCCGCTCTCTCGGGGGTGAGTGCGGTCTCATTTCCCGAAACAGCGGCTGGACATGGAACCTACTTCTTCATCAAGGGTCTAGGGTAAAAGTGAGCGACTTGAAAAAAAAAAGAAAAAGAAAAAAAAAAAAGGAAAATCGGCATTTATAAGTCCGGATTTCGCCTTCTACTTAAAAACGTTAAACCAATCGGCTGTAGTCAAGACACTCAACTAATTGTCTATTAAACGTCGCGGCGCTTTAGTAAGATTTGTTTTAAATCATACACTTTGTTCAGTGCCTCTTGTTGATCGGTATACATAACGTTAACACGCCAAGTTCATATTTCACCTTTCCTCTGTTGTTTTCTCCTGTCTTTGATTGATTTCCACTGCCAGCATTCCTTCGGTCCATTTGCGCACGATCTAAACCGCGCAGCTGGCGGTTTGCGGTTGTATTTCACTCAACAGGCTACTTACATGTAGGCCAGCACGTTTCTCTGCTCGCCCAAATTTTCTTTTCAGTAGGTTGTGTTTTAAGAACGATTTGAAACAAAAGCACATACATTGTTTGTTTATTGATATCTAAAATTACATAAACACCGTTAGTAGCTTAAGGATTCTTAAGTAGGCTAAAATATACCCAGGGAAATGATAAGGTGATTGACGCAGGAGAAAACACAACAAAAGCTAATAAATTAAACGAAACACCTAGTGCTGGTCACGTGACTATCAGCATTCCCTGTCGTTCGTTTTCGCTAAAAATCCGGGAACTCGAAAATTTAATGCAATCATTTGGGTTTTAACAATTATAGGCTAATTTCAATATACTTAAACTCTAACTTGGCTCCGAGGCTTGGGTAATAAAACAAAAAAATCACATGGAGGTCTGGGGATGAGTGACTGATTTCTTTTGTTTTACTCCGCCAAACTTCGAGGCCAAGTCAATATTTTAATCTATCGCAATTGGCCTGTTCTTAATATGTATTCGTTTTCTTCTATCATAGGTACATGCCGACGGAATTATCACTCTCGGAAAACAAACTTTCTCCCAAGCTGCACTACGACACAGGAAATTTCCATTTCCGCCTAATGTCCCATCCATAGCAGTGTTCTACGCACCCATTGAAGTGAAAAACGCCAGTGAAGTATTTTACAGAGAAACTAGAAACGAGAGCATCGTCAAGAAAGCAACGGACCAAGTTCGAGTGAGTTTTGTCAGAGAGAAAGATTTCCTCGCCACGAGTGCTTTCATCGCTACGTGGAAGAATGTGGCGCATGCAGATGGCAAGTTTCCTAACAAGGTAAAATTACCCCCCAAAAGTGTTCCGAGAACAACTTTGCAAACACTACCAGCAAACAAGCAGATTACTTACGTGGGGTCAGAAGGTTGCTAGCGAGTGGGCAAAAATTTACCCACCCCACCCCCACGCCTTCCCTCACCCTTCTCTTCCACGTCTATCGTTTGCAGAAAATGTTGGGGCGAAAAGAAAGTGAAAAAATTGTTTTCCTGTTTCTTTTTCACTTGCAATTCTACTGGCTAAGCAACATACACAATCTGTTTTATCCTTTTTAAAAACTTCCTGGGTGAAGGCTTGGGGGGGGGGGGGGGGGGGGGGAAGAGACTTTAATCTTGGGGATATGTAGTCCCGTAACCTTTCTCTAACCTTGTTACGGCAAATGCATAAAAAACTGTCGGAGCCGGTGAAGTGATTCGGTTTGTATGAACTAGGGTAACTACACCATAAAACCTTTTAATTTATTCTTTGTTTTTTGCACTAGAATCAAACCTCTGTGCATACATGTACTTTAGTAGTGTTCTTTCATTTTCCTAGACGAACACGTTCCAGGTTGTCCTCGTAACAGACAACAAGAATACATTCAGTCTGTTCCACTATAAATACGATGGACTGCAGTGGATCAAAGGTTATCATGTGCGTTACCAGGGCGGGAGATTTCTCGATGCACAAGTTGGCTTCAGCGCTGGGGATCAAGTGAGGTACAGTAACGGTATCTAAAAGAGCTAGAAGTCGTTCTCCGGTATTGGATATTGTTGCACCAAATTTCGGAAATGCCACCGTGATTTCAGTAATTATGCCCAAACATCAGGCCCCTTTCACACTTCGCCGGAGAAATTTGAACACAGCTTTATTTCTGCGGTTAGGCCTACCGTACACACGCTATTCAAACCGGAGGAAGTTTGAAAACGCAGGCCTAGCTAATTTGAAAACGGAGCTTTTCGAAAATGATAACGTCATGATAGTCATGTGATTTCCCTGCCCGGGGTTTCCTCAAACACAACTGAATCCAAAATTTCCGCTAAATAGTTGCCTTTTCAAATTTCTCCGGCGCAGTGTGGACGGGAAACGCTTGATCCGTTTTCAGAGTAAAATCTGTGTGGAAATTTCTCCGGTGTAGTGTGAACAGGGCCTGAGGCTCCAGGAACAGAACTGCTATGTAGTGTTATGTCTTAGACGTCCAAGAGCAATTTGTGATTATTTTATATCTGCTTCATGGACGACTGATTCAAATTCGTTAATTGCTTCAGAAGAACGTCAAAATCTAACGGAGGTTATATCTTTGATATTTTTCTAGATCCTATTTGTTACCCGGGTCAGGAACCAAAGATATTAAGTTGCTGACTGAGAGGTCCAATGTGCAGTATTCGGGACAATGGATGTTTAAGATCGGATGGCCAAATATGGGAGGTTTAAATGTAGAGGCTGCGGATAGTTACTTCCAAAAGGATTCCGACAAACCGCCCTTCTTCATAGTGGAACAATGTGAGTACTATGGGCAGTCTAAATTGCAGTGAATGGTCTGCTGGCAGTAAGGGACCGTATAGCCCATCTGTTTTATAGAATACCCATTTACAGCTATGAACTGCGGAAGCGAACGTCTGGCGTGGATTGTGAAGATGAAAGATATATTTGCACATAACTTCATTGCTGGTTCGAAAGTCTGTGTAGTGTTAATTCATGCAGTATGTCTGTTATTGATGCATTCGGCATGTTCACAAGCCAGGTTAAGGTTACCAGAAGCGGAAGGGAACAGAAATATGAAACAAATGAAGCAATTCTTAACGCAAATCTCACAGGGTACTTCTAGTAAGAAGATCAGGATAAGATTACCTGACATTTCATCACTGAGTATCCGCGCTAAGCTATGTCTTTCGTAGAATGCCGGAAACGACTAGCAGTATGGCTGCTTCCCGGAATCGGATGCTACAGACTACCAGAGTTTGGTTGTGAAGACATGACTGATTATCACAGCGATGATCAATCATTTCTTCATATCTTTCTCCGCATGCAGTTCAAATATATGATCTTCCTTATATTCACTTGTATTCTTCATCATCTACGGGTATATTACAAACTCACAATGTGACCAGCTCCCAGTTGGCTTGATCGCTCAGTTGGTGGGGCACTGCACCAGTTTCGCAGAGGTCATGGGTTCGAATCCCGTTCAAGACTGATTTTTTTGTTTTTTCAGACTTAAATTTCGCAGATGCGATGTTTATATAACTGCGATGATCAATCGTTTCTTCATATCTTTCCCCGCAGTTCAAATAATAAGATCTCGTAGAGTTTGGTTGTGTTTGCTCAACAATTAATCATTTATATCCTCTTGGGTACGGAGGGGATGTGCTGGCTTGGACCGCTGTAACTCTCGTATTTCCAATATCTTCCAAGTCTAACGCACGCACCCTAAAACCGTTCTTCCTATAAACTATACCACTGACAGAAATTCTGGCTCCTTCTTGTTTCAGATTTTGAGGGTTGCTTTAAAGTAGACGCGTATCTTTCTTTATCCAACGCGAGTCAGATTTGGCAGGATGTGAGCATTCGTTCGTGCATGATTCTGTGTCATCAGAGAAATCATAAGTACGCTGCTCTCCACAATGGTAATGAATGCGCCTGCCTGAATGACCAGGAGGTTTCGAGGCTAGAGAAATTACCAGCTGAAGCATGCGACGTTCCGTGCAGCGTAAATGACGAGGAGCGTTGCGGTGGGAAGACCGCTGCGTCGATATTTCTGGCTGTTGCCAAATCCATCTTATCCGCTGATGAAAGAGCTGCAGGACTGAATGGTGAGAACACTCGAGACTATTATAAGGAGACCAGGAAAAAAATTGAAATCTCAAAGGGCGGGGGAACGGGTGAGGAGGAGAGGCTGCATTGTATTTCGTTCAAATAATTGTACAAGTAGGTATCCACAATTAGCCGATGGTACTTCCCCTCAGCTACGAAATTTTGACACGTTAGGAAAGTTTTTGTTTTTCTAATTATTTATGTGAAATTGTCATTCTGGCATGTGTTCCATCCACAAAACCACAAAAGTGAACGTTAGTAAAATCTTGAAACCTTGAACAAAGTGCTGTTCATTTGAACGTTTTTAATGCTATAACCGTAATAGTTCTTTTCATCGAGTGTCATAAAACGAAGCCCAAAGTAATGACTCTGGTCAATCACGAAGGACACAGACAGTCCAGTGCACCAATCAGAACTTGAAGCAAATACGTGTGGCTGTCATGAAACGCTAGAAAAGGTGCGCGATGAACCACGTCTTGCTTTGATATTAATTTGGATTGGCTGACCAAGTGGCGCGAGTTATTATTATTATTATTATTATTATTATTATTATTATTATTATTATTATCGCGTAGCGTAGCGGTGCAAAACCCTTTAAAAGCGAACTACTTCCAACACAGGTGAAACCTCCCTGTTTTACAATAGATAAATAAAAGGTTCCCCTTGAAGGAGCTATTCAGTAGCCTTCATTTGAATGGTCACATATTAGGGTTTCATCTAGGGTCACATTTACATTGAACCATGTTTTATCTTTTCCTTAGATGTCGATGAATGTGACAACGGTGTATCTCAGTGCCATTCAAACGCGCTTTGTAAGAATAGCGCTCCAGGTTACTGCTGTGAATGCATGAATGGTTACTATGGGAACGGAGTCGACTGTGTCAAGGAAGGTAAGATAATTGTTTGCTCCAGAACTAAGAAGTACTGAGCAAAAAATTAAACAACATGCACTACACATTTTACCCGAACACTGATACAGCAGTAGTTTGTTGTATCTCTGACATTGGGACATTGCCTCCATGAAATTGGGAACAACAAGGCACCTGGAAAGAGTGTATTAAAATAAACATGTTCAGTGGGTTTTTGTTTAACTCTTTATGTCTTGGAAGATGCACCGAAACTGTCATTTCGTTATTTGGTGTTTTAAACACGTCCCTTTATGAACTTCAATTTTTCATCTTTTATCTCGTCTAGGAGAAGTCATTCATTTCCTCGGCAAGTTTTCTGGCATCCTTAATGGTGTAGATCTCCAAGATCTTCGTCTGGATTTAATTGCCATGTCTAGCGATGGCCGTGTTTACGTCGTAATAAGAAGACCACCGACTGCTCTGGCGCATTCTCTGAAGATCCTCACCCCTTTCGCTAACACTGCTGGCTGGATGCACGGTGTAAGCAAAGTCAAGGGTGTTCCCAATGGCTTTAGTGTACTCGGGACAAGGTTGACAAGAAACATGGTGGTCTCCTTTGACTCAGGTAACTTTGTTTTAAAATGTATTTCAACCAGTTGTTGCACGCAGAAAACAAGTAGCACAAAGTGGAACCAAAATCCTGTTCACAAGCAGGATGCTTAAACAAACACACAAACAGATATTTTTACAACGCATGTGCCTTATAACTGTCTTAAACGACGCAATATTATTTCTTTGTAATCAAAAGGCGAGGAATTACGTTTGAAACAGAAGTTCAAGGGTAAAGATGCCAGCGGCCGTTACATCTCCATAGAAACTACGATAAACGGAACAATGCCGGACATCAGCTCTGACTCCGATATCAGAATGGATTCTTTTAAGAAAGTGTATCGTCGTGAGGATCACGGGAAAGTAGAATCCGAAGGGACAACAACATTTCAAGTTGATGGTGAAACCAACGGATTCTCTGTCTTAGAGACCATTGAGTATGATGAACTGAGAGGATGCGATGACAGTTTCTACAGCTTTGATGTGGAATCTAGGGTGCTGTTAACCAAATTTGACCCCAATCAGAAGTACGCGTCAGTAGCCATCCAGTCTTACATCGTCAACGCCTCTACACCAGACAGTACGTATAGTTCACTTGATTTGAAGACTTACCCATCGTACACCAATAGAGCTTGATAGTTAAGGCTTTGGGCCATTTTTCACAGAGGCAAAAGTCGGGTGTAGGGCGTTGTTTGAAAGGGTTTGGAAAATCCAAACGAAGGAACTGACATTTGGGCCAATCCCATTAACCCCAGTGCCACAACCGCCCACTCCCCCACTCCTCAGTCTCGTCACTCGATTGTTTCGCGTTCTCGTGGGAATAGGAGGTGATAAGAGCAGTATACATGTATAATCTGTTGCTTTAAGGGTAGGGTTTTTTTTTTTCTCAGCTCAAGGTCAACAAGGTAATGGTAGCCCCTGTGGATCCCAGAAAGTCACCTGTCACGCTAAGGCAAGCTGCTTGAATGACCAAGGATTGGAAGAATGCCGCTGTAAAGACGGTTACCAAGGCGACGGTACCAAATGTGAAGGTGTGTCCTTTAGTCTTTCTATTAGCAGCTTTTAAGCTATAAACGAGCCAAATACTCTTATGACTTTTTGTAAACAGATTTCCGTGTTGAGAAATGTGCGAAATTTCTTTCTTTAACCATAACTTGAACTTAAAATGGAGCGATCCCACCGTAAACGTCTTTGCTCTCGCCAGACGTCGCCAACTTAAGCTAAGGAGATTCCAATGAAGAAAGAAGCAATTCATATGCATGCGCCCTTAGGAACTGACAAAACCCTGGCTATTATTAATATAAAATCCCCCGACTTATGTTCTTCTCATGACTTTGCAAGATAGATATACATGTGTACCTTTTTCTGCTAGATGTGGATGAATGTAAATTGGACGTGGCCGGCTGCAGCTCTTCTGCTGACTGTATTAATACTGAGGGCTCATTCTCGTGCAAATGCCGCAGCGGATTCACTGGCGATGGTTTCAGTTGTATAAAAGGTATAAATTTCCCTGCGTTGCAGTGATTCTTCTCCCTCTGACAGGACTGACAGGATATGTGCGCGCAATATAGAATGCTATCTTATGCAAGATCGAACTGCTCCGAAAAATGTCATAGCAAAGATACGACTTAGTTCAGATGGCTGGGATTCCCCTGCCGTTTCGGGACTCGGCGAAGCGAATTATACCGCTGAACAAGACGAATCGGCCCACGGAGCAAGTCACGAGAAACTGCAAAAGCATGCAACAGTAGACCTGAGAAGAAGAAAGTTTGATTGCGTCTCTGAAATTAGCAAGGAATGGGATTGCAAACATAAATCTTAAGGTCGGCTTTAGTTAACCAAACCAATGTAAACTTTCGAATAAAGGCGGAGGGAGGAAATTGGTTGCACGTTTGTCTCCGGAATGTAGGGCGCATGCGTATTAAGATAGCCCTCAGAGATATCCCACATGGAAGGCATCGCTGGTCTCAATCAGTATGTATACGTAACGCAATCAATAAAATAGTCGAGGTCCGGATTTGGGGAGGGTTATCCACTACCTAATATGAGTTGATTCTTTCCCCCTCCCCGCCCTTTGACCTCATCTTTTGAACTTTTAAAATTACAAGTTCAGAATAGGCCCTTTGCAGGATCCGGTCACATGGTACGGAATTAATTATGCTGGGACGCAAGTTACGCAGTGGGACTTCCAAAACAAAGGAAAGTCGGGCTGGACTGGTACAAGTTCCTTTGTTTTGGAGGTCCCACTGCGTAACTTGCGTCCCAGCATAATTAATTCCGTACCATGTGACCGGATCGTGCGAAGGGTCTATTCGACAAAAAAAAAAAAAAGCCTCGGTAAACTTCCTTACCGACAGTAAGGCTGTCCATCAGTAACAACTAGGAGATAGACTGAGTTCTCCTCACGATACGTCCACTTAATTGATTACTCATTAATTATTTATTTTCTTTGTTTTGTTTCCCTTTGTAAGCATAATCAGCTCACACATGATTTGAATTTGTTTCCGTAGTAACCGAACTACAGTGTCCTAGCAATTGTGACCCGGACGCTAAGTGCGTTCAATATGTAGGAGGCTGGAGGTGTGTGTGTAATCCGGGATTTAAGGGCAATGGAATCATTTGTCAACGTAAGTTTGGTATATTATCTTTTATTGTATCTCTCACTTACTACGCGCGTTGTGATTGGTCAATTTAGTTGGCCGCTGCGATTGGTCAATTTACGACCCGCTAAGGTTTAAGGCTGTTTTTGTTGCCAATATCTTTCGTGGTTTATCGCCAAGTTTTCTTAACTTTTGTAGCAAGTAAAAGTTTAAAACTTTCTTTTACTTCAAAACGTGTATTAAAGCGTGCTAACGACTTAACGATTTCAAATTGACTCGTTTTGCTTTCAACGTGCGTCAGAAATTTGAAGCCGTTCGGCGTGAATAGAAATCGTTCCCGAACCCGTCAAACAGAGTAGAGACACACTAAATATCTTACTAACCGATTTCGCGGTCCGTCCTTATGTTACGGATCCGAAGCGCTTGGGCTATAAATCGAAGGGGAAAAACGAGAATCCGTAACTTACAGTACGGACCGAGAACTCGGTTAGTATGAGGTATGTATCTCGTACGCTCGTTGTGTAACTGTAGTTGTTAAAAACTGGATCATTGGATGATGCAATTCGAGAATTTTCATTGGCTTAGCCATCATGGGGTATGAATCATTATATCTTACTCTACAAATATGGTAAGCGCACGCGTGATTTCTTGGGGATTTTTTTCTTTTTATTTTAGTTAACGTTTAGTTTTCTATATTTTGGGGGTGTTTTTAATAATGCAATTATTCCACTCGCGCTTGTTGGATGTGAAATGATTATAACCGACTCATATCCAACGCGTGCTCAAGGAATAATTGGTAAGTATGTAGGTATCTAAAGTTTTGTGAGTCAGTTCTGGTAATGAGATCAGAAGAGTTCGCAGAGTTTTTCGCTAATGGTTTACTCTTTATCGTTACAGCTGATGGGTCGTGTGCGGGAGTACAGTGCAGTGAAAACGCCCAATGTACCTACACCGCAGACAACTCGAGGAAATGTGTGTGTAACTTGGGATACAAAGGCGACGGTGAAACCTGTTCCCGTAAGTAACTTCGCCTTGGGACAACGTCGGCGAGTGAAGTGAATTAGCTTTGGTTAATTACCTTCTTGCTTTCTTCTTTTCGTTGATATTTCTTACCGTTGAAAGGAAAATCCTTTAAACTGTTTATAATGTGGCCGAGGGTTGCATTGTTTTCGTTTAAGAGATTGAAACAATTGTTTCCCTAGTTGAAGTAATTGCACCCAAATTCGTGCAATACCTTTTACCACAACATTCAAATAAATGAAGTAAACATTGTTCCGTTATTTTCCTCAGCTCGTGATAAATGTGAAGGGGTAACCTGTGGCACCAATGCGACTTGCGATGCCACTGGAAACTGTGCCTGCGACCGCGGTTTCCAAGGGGATGGACAGCGTTGTGACGGTAAGGGATAACATCGCAAACCAGTTCTGGAAGATTGCGTCAGCGCGCGCGATCCGTGCCCGACCAGCGCTGATTATACGTGATGGGAAAGGGTGCAACAGAAAACATCAGAATGGCTTCGTGTTTTAACATGCACCACTCCTAGAAGCTAAATTATAAAATATTTTACTTCCTGCAGAGCCTGAAACACAGATTTTCTGTTTTCAGAAAAAGAGAGAAATTTGAGTTGTACTTCAAAGAACCCTGGTCACTCAGCTTGGCTTATCTTAAATCCCCACTTTAACTTATCTTAAGTGATAAGAAAGGCGCCTCAATTAGATTGCTTTATCTTGTAAGATAAAGACAATCTGGTATCATGACAATTTCGAGCGGCGCGTAGCCCGTGTTAAGTCTGTTCTATTTCACGAATTCGATGTTTTACATTGAGAGGTTTTATCTCGTAATCAGTAATTAGCAAAAGCAACTTGGTGGTTCTCATCAGAGAATAAGTGTTTACAATGGATTGCAATATGTTTGTTCACGAAACACTAATTCGTGAACAAACGAATTGTTTCCTCCAATTCAACCTGTTCACGATGTATTGAAATCGATGACCACTCCGTACAGCTGTGCTGTAATTTTCAAGGCATAAAATTACATGTCACGATTCGTTTCAAGCACGGCCGTATCCTGCTTTACGTCAATGTGGTCAGTTTCTTCTCTGTCACGGAACCTCCCGCGGTGAGTATTGAAAAGTTGTTCCTCAGCTCTCTTGGACTGCCCGCACACGAGTGTATCTAATTGTCGAGAGTCGAGAGTCGAGGGTAACATGTCGGGGGTAACATGTCGAGGGTCGAGGGGTAACTTAAAAAGTATATTAAAATAAAATAAAAAAAAAAGTATATATGAAATAAATTGCTGAAAAAGTCAAGACAGAATTTTCTTTCTCCAGCTTTTCTTTTTCTTTTTTTATTTTTTTGAGTAAAGCGTTGCGTGACACGGCCAAATGACTTCTCGCTCCTTGTAGTCTTGGGCGGTAGTACCAACAGCGCTCTCTGTACTGTCACGCAAACGTAAACTCTTATCAAAGGAAACATGCACGCTAATTTTCTTTTCTCGATATTCACGCTTATTATCTTCATTTAGGACTATAGAACATTATTATAAACCAGTAACTATCTTTGCTTTCATTGTTTTCATGCCTTGTTCTAATACTCGCCAAGCAAACAAAATTAACGTAAACACTGGATTAAAATAGGGTTACGTGAAGTACTAAAGAATAGAGGATGGCATGTCTGTCATCTTATCTTAGCCTTCAATGTCTTCCTGTTTGTCCATTGACTGCCCAAGATAACATTGGATACTTTCAAATAGTTCTCTCTAGTTTATTTAGTATTTATTGGAAACTGTGCAATACTAGACCACCAGCTCTAAAGCAGGGTGTAACCTTAGTCTTTTGAGCGTACGAGTATAGTAAATGCAGTTATTGGAGATCATTTCTACGACCAAAACGTCGCGTGACAAGTGGATAAAACAGACATTGCCATCCCCTTTTCTTTAAAAGCTGGCGAAAGAAAATTCTGTCTTGATTTCTTCAGCAATTTATTTCATATATACTATATTTTTATTTTTATTTTTTTATTTTTTATTTTTCACTTTATTTTAATATATTTTCTAAGTTACCCTCGACTCTCGACTCTCGACATTGAGATAGTTACGTTAGCTGGCAATCATGTTCATTTGGTTTCATTTTACCCTTGGCCCTATCTTTGTCCATCAAGGCTTCTTTTCTTCTGAAAAGCTAAAGCAATATATGCTGTTAACAAATCGAAATTAAGAGGGTTTTTTTTCTCAAATCACCAATCACGTCTTGACTGTTACCCTGATTGATAATAAACTCTATTTGGTTAGGCTCTAGTAAATGCTCTCGGAGTTGGAGGGGTGGCGTGTGTGGGGTGTGTGGAAGAGGTGGCTAGGGAGTACGAGAGACAGTTCGTAAGTTGAAATAAGGGCTCCTGTACATCTATAGACTTGAAGATTTCCTTCTTAAAGTTAAAGCACAATTTTACTTTGCCATGTGCAGAACCAAGATATTGCAGCAGATTTAGGAAAATCGGTAAAATATGTTCAATTTAATTGGACGAACGTTGCATTTTTTGTTTTAGATGTAGACGAATGTAAAGAAAGTCAGGACAAGTGTCACAGTGACGCTGACTGCACGAACACCGTGGGTTCGTATAAATGCCAGTGCAAGAAAGGTTACCTTGGTGATGGATTCACGTGTGTGAAGGGTGAGCATTCTAAAAAGAAAATGGATAGATTTCGGTTGAGTTTCCATATATTGATTTACAAACCCCCGCAACATAGCGAACAAAGACGATTTTAACATCTTGAACATTACAGACCCCGTTTAAATTTATGAATGGAAAAGTAAAGAAATCAAATCAACCTAGACATTAGATATCATGTAGACTCAATGGACCTTTCAGGCGATACGACGGCCATTTTGAATTCCATTGTTTCAAATAGCTATGTTGGGAAAATGAATGCTCAGGTGGCAAATGCATCACTGGAAAAGCCCGGACTCGAGAGAGCGGTGGAAATCGAGTCTAGATATCATGCCATAACCTGCAATTCTTTGTTACTGCGAGTTATTGTCTTGATTTTCAAAACTGAGTAAAAGTTTTGTCCTGGAATTAGTAAGAGGAATTTCAATTCCCAGTTCGTGGCTGCAAGTATCAACTTATTTTCTGCTTCCAGAGGAGGTTGGTCAGTTGTGCAGTGGCCAGAAGTGCCATTCCCAAGCTCAGTGTCTCGGCGATCAGGACAGCCTTAAGTGTGTCTGTAACAATGGTTACCAAGGAGATGGGGTCACGTGCGCAGGCAAGTATCAGTGAATAATTTCCGATATTTTCAAATCACATGCTGCGTGCATCTGCCCAGCGACATGGAAATTGCGACAAATATCGTCCTGGCTTTTTTTTTTGGGGNGGGGGGTCTGCAATGTCGCTGTTAGGTTCATTTCCATACTTAGCAGAAAGATATTCTTACTCTAGATTGGGAGGTATTTTCCGGTAAGGAAATTAACGACTTCTTAGGTTCCAGCTTTCCCGCTCTAAATCTCTATTTAGATGCAGGCTTTCATCATGTAGATGCCGACACGAATACATGATATCAGTTACATATATAGTTTTCGGTTAAAATACTTATACGCTTTGCCCGCAACACGAACGAACTGAATCGAGCTCATGTTAGGAAGTTGTTGGTCCTAGTCTCTAGTGAAATAATTTGGTTTGTTTTCTAGACAATAATGAATGCTTGGAGGATAACTTGTGTCATGAATTCGCTGACTGCACCAACACTGAGGGTTCATACACGTGTAAATGTAAAGAGGGTTACACAGGAAACGGACAGGAGTGCACCAGAGGTAAGGTTGCGTCTAAGTAAACACGATTTTCATTTGCGGTCTTTTAATCCGCAGCTACGGACGGTTATGATTCAACGGGGTTACTTCCGTACCAAAATTCATATTACAAGATTTAGAGAAGACCCACATCAGCTTTAGCAGGTTTTCATATGGGTCCTTTATCCCGGTCCAATTGGAATTTGAATACGTTATTGCTGGTGGTCAAATTTTATTTCTGACGCTGTTCATCTTAGTTTCCAGCATTCTACAACCTGTCGTATACATAAAATAAAATTTCCCCGATTTTCGCTTTCACGTTTTAAATGAGAATTCTGAACTTTTCCTCGCCCAGTCATGATCAGAGTACTCGCTGTTGACCCTTACTTATTATTTACCACCTCACTTGTTTTTTTATGTATTGCGTGGCAGATTCCACTGATGGCTGTGGTGGAGAGAAGTGTCACATGTATGCCTCGTGTCAAGTAAAACCTGATACGGGCAAAGAAGAGTGTCAGTGTCAGTACGGCTTCACTGGCAACGGAGTAGACTGTAAAGGTTACTAATAATTTTTGCCTTTTTCGTGTGTGTTTTTCAAAAATATTGTATGCCTACTTTTGCGTTAGTCAAAAGTTCTGTTTTGTTTTCTTTAACCTTTATTTCGTGTCGTTGTTGTTCATGTTTCTAATTACTTCCTAGTCAGTGCCTATTTACTTTGTTCTGTCAAGTTGTATCTTTTCTTTTCTGTTATCGTGTTTAGTGTTTTTGTTTTTCCTTCCTGTATTAGTTAACCTGATATTGTTTGTGCTTTCTAATGCTCTTCTGTTGCAGATTTGAATGAGTGTGCTGAAAGTGACGACATTTGTCCAGACAACAGCACTGAATGTCAAAATACATTTGGAAGCTATGAATGTCTATGCAAGAAAGGATATATGGAAGTTAACCGCAAGTGTGTCTGTAAGTTGTTGATCTATGCTCAAAATATTTTCTCTTGTTAATTGCTCTCAATATATTTTTCTTTTCTCTCCTTTTCTTTTGTTGTTGCTGTTGTTGTTGTTGTTGTTAACTTCTGTGTTTTTGGCGACTCTTCAGAGCATTTTTCCAAGCTAGGTGATATTTTTTCACACGTTGTAAATGGCCAGTTCCCGTCCATGAGACGGGCCGGGCCTGCAGGGAATCCATAGAGGCTGCATTCAGCGTTGCCAAGTCTTACACTTGTTTAACTTGTTCTGCTGAGTGAAAATACCATGATTACCTTATAAATGTAGTTTTGCTTCATAAAGTGAGTTTGGAATTTGTGGCTACCTACGATTTAACTTTAAAACCAAGGCAGAAACTTTTAAACCAGTTTTAAAGGTTGCTAGCGATAGCTTCTCACGGTGTGTGCCTGTGCATGTGTGTTTATATCTCCAGCTGATGATTCCTGCATGGGTGTGGACTGTCACCCGGATGCTATTTGTGATTCTATTCGGGGATGTTTATGCAAGGATGGTTTCCAAGGCGATGGAGTTAGTTGCGAGGGTAAGCAATCCATGCAATACACACTGTGATCCAAAAGTCCCCATCAAATGTCAAAGTGCTTAAGGAAGAGTGGTGTGATACTACGAACTGGCACAGGAGTTATCAACTCCTTACTCCCCATTAGTCTTTTTGTAAACATTTTGTTAGTAAATTTAGGTTTACGGTTCGATAAAGCTCAATAAACATCTTTCATTGCTCTTTAAAGTCTTCTTTTTTTTTTCCTTAGACGAAAACGAGTGCAATCTTACTCGAAGTCCGTGTGACCTGAACGCAAACTGCATCAACACGAATGGCTCGTTTCAGTGTGAATGCAATACAGGATTTACTGGTGATGGATTCCGTTGCGAAAGAGGTAGGTCCAGGTATAAATGTCACAAAAGGATCTCCTTCATTCTGGGCTGTGTCTGTTACATTATTTTTAACATTATTTTTATTTTGCGGCATGGAGTCACAATCATGACAGTTGAAACTGATAGAAGCTGTCTTTTAATATTGTCCTTTCCTTTCAGCTGAGGGAAACTGTAATGGCGTTGCGTGTGATACCCATGCCCAATGTGTCCAACCTTTGGATGACGGTCCACCCCAGTGTGAATGTGACAAAGGTTGGGAAGGCGACGGACAAGTCTGTTCAGGTAATACGAACATTAAGTCGTTTGCATTGTAGGGCTAATCAGTTGCATGCTTTAAATGGCGGTACAGGTGATCCTTTTTGGTCCATTAGTGAGGCCATACTTGACAATTAAAATTTGACTTTTGTACTCTGATTAAGCAGGCGTTTCATTCCGTCCACGGCTTGATTCTTCCTGCGCTCGAGACACCTCCGAAATTCTCTGCAGAGATCCGCATAGGGTCGCTGGTCGATGCATGTTAATACGTGTTCGCAAGTTGAAGGCCTTATCTTGGCGACGATTCAGAGACACTACACGAACCGCTGCGGCGCTTCGTCATTAGCAAGGGTTATTTTGTTCGTTTCTTTAGTGAGAAGTGGTACTGGTTACACAGGCTGGTTCGGAGTAAATAGTTATGTAGCTCTTTCTGATCACATATTCATGTTATATAAGATAGTCCAGCATTATCAAAAATCGTTTACCAAACGAAGAGCAACCAGAAAGGGCACCCAGACGATACAGTGTTCCACGCAGATTCTTGGCTAGGTACAGAGGGTGAAACAAATAAGTAAACTCTTAACTGATCTGGCATGCTGTATCTAAGACGACTACCTCTCTTTTTACAGATGCTGACGAATGCAAACCCTTTAAAAACTTGTGCCATCCGTTGCGTGCTGATTGCATCAACACAGTTGGTTCGTATAATTGCCGCTGCAAGCCAGGCTACCAAGGAGATGGCTTCAATTGCATATGTAGGTGCCTAATTACGTATGTAGAATGAACAAAATGGCGCTGGTAACATTTTCGTCTGTCTGTTTTTCTGTTTACAGAAGGGCTTAACACTGTTGAAGTTGCTTTTTACCTCGCTCGTCTGTTGGCCAAGAGTAGCTAAGAAGTAACGAAACAGCAATTAAACAAAGAAAACAAACAAAAAACGAAAACAATCTTTCTGGTGCTGTCTTATTATTTTCCCCCTATCAAACAGTTGTCGTGTAATACAAGTCATCCGCGTTTTGTGTCTCTCTCTACCAATCAAGCTACCAGACGAAATCATTACCACCAGACCTGAGTAATACAGTTCTAAGTTTCTCTAATTTGACCGTGTAGGAAATCAGTAAAGTAAGGGTACTGCATTTGTTTTGCAGTCGATATTCGGTTTACCTGAATTTCATTTCCCTTTTTCAGCTGATGGTACCTGTGATGGAGTCCAATGCGATGTCAACGCCACTTGTTTTAAACCGTCACCTGAAAAACCTGGTCAGTGTGTATGCAAAGATGGCTGGCAGGGTGACGGAAAGACTTGTGAAGGTCAGAAAAAAAGCGAAGCCATTTGCGTTTTAATCTTTCTTCTTCTTACGTACCTCTAAGGATGTTGACAGGGAGTTTTAGTGTGATATTAGCAAATTCGATAACAGGAAAGCAAATTAACAAGGGTTTGGTTTAGTAGGGCAGCATGCGACGATTAGAAGGAACCCGTAGTTAGGGAGTG